TTTGCCATATAGCTAACCAATTAGTGCTTTTATCCTGAATATATAAAGAACTCCTAAAATCAATAAGAAAAAAACATAACTAGCACCCACTTAACTAAGCACAAGACTGGAACGGGAACTTCCAAAGAAGATACCCAAATGTCCAATAAGTTTTCATATTATTAGTCATCCAAGAAATGTGAATTTAAAACCAACATGAAGTACTACTAGACCAGCAATCAGAATGGTTAAGGTTTTTTTAAAGATGAAAATACTAATGGTTGGCAAGGACATGGAGCAGTTGAAACTCTCTCACACTACATTTGTAAGTCATTTTTGAAAACTGACAGTAACTAATGAATGCAAAACATATGCTAGCATGACCGTACCATTCTATCAAGAGAAATTTCAATGCAAGTGCATTGAAATATATACACAAGATCAGCATTATTTGCAGTAGCCAAAATCCAGAAACAATCTAAATACCAATCTACTTTTGAATGCACATCATGCGATTCCATGTAGAAATTCAAATGAACGACTACACTCAATAGTATGAATGAATCTCACAAACATAATGTTGAGCAAATGAAACCAGACACAGAGTATTTACTTTATAATTCAATTTATATAAATTTTCAAAATAAGCAAAACTAATCTATAATATTAGAAGTCAGAATAGTGACTATCATTGGGGAAGTGTGGAGACTTTGAAAGGGAGAGAATGTAAGAGGGGAAGCTGGGGAGCTTGGTAGGGTTCTATTTCTTGAGCAATGTGGTAGTTACACAGTTGTTTTTCATAGTTGTGAAAATTCATTAAGTTATACACTTCTGCATGTGTTACGTTTCAATAAAATATTTAAATATAAATTCTATAAATGAAAAAAGTGAAATGCAATTAAAAAATGAGCAGGGGACCTGAAAAGACACTTCTCCCAAGAAGACATACAAACGACCAACATATATATGAAAAGATGCTCAACTTCCCTAGCTATTAGGGAAATGCAAATCAAAATCACGAGACACCACCTCACACCTGTTAGAATGGCTGTCATCAACAGGACAAGTACTAACAAGTATTGGAGAGATTGTGGGGAAAAAGGAACCCTCATGCACAGCTGGTGAAAATGTAAATTAGATGGAATTTTTATATATCTATATGGTTATATTCAGCAGCAAAGTTGACAAACATAAATGGATAATTTAAAATTATAGAATCAAATAGCTTTTTTCCTATAATGTAGATCTTATTTACAAGATTTACTTTATGTCTTACTTCTGAACTCTTTCCAAGTGCACTATCAATGATCTATGAATGGGAGGATATGAAAATCAGTAAGAAAGCTTTTGTAGCAACTCAGGTGTGAGATGAAGCATGAAGCCCTGGCTACAGTGGTGTCAGTGGGAAAGGAAAAGAAGGGACAAATATTGAAGATGTTTTCAAACTGAAGAAGGAATATTACTCAGTGCCTCATTAGGGAGATAGATTATGTATAGATGATAGATGATCGATTAGGTAGATAGATATAGATAGAGATTCTCACGACTAGGTTCTCATGCCATCTCTTGTCTCATGATTTTCTTCAGTGACAGAAGTGACTCTGGCTAAGGAATTCCAAGCCATTCTCACACAGATCCAGGGATATTGGATTTTGACGATCTTACTCCTGTCTGCCCCAACTGACACAAAAGCAGGTAATACTCAAGCCAATGAAATTTTCGTGAAGAATTGCTGAAATTCATGACAAAACTTCACCAAACTACGGCAAAGTCTGTGATAATACATAGATGATATTACCCTAAACATAACATAGAATAGCCACAGAATCCGAAAAGCAGCAGTAGAAAAAGACACTTGATGGGTAGCAGAAACTCATGGCTCGTTTTGATGCACAGCACACTGGAAAGGTACTGTAACATCCGCATCCGTGCTGGCCGATAGAAATATAACGGGAGCAAAATATGTAATTTTTAATTTAAAAAATCGTGATAATATGTATAACTTTAAGTTTTCTACAGCCACATTAAAGTAAAAAAAAAAAATCTGGTAAAATTATTTAACTATTACATTTTAAAGCAAATACATTCAAAATAAAATGTTCTCACCAAAAAAAAAAAAAAGATAAATATGTGAAGTGATGAATGTGTTAATTAACTAGATGGTAGGAATTCGTTCACACTGTATACATATATCAAATCACCACGATGTACATTTTAAATATCTTATAAATGTGTCAATTATACCTCAAAAAAGCTGAAAAACGTTCAAATATTATTCAGTGTAATCAATATATTGTGCTAAGCCTTCAAAATCTGCTTTGTACTTTATAGCACATCTCAATTCAAATTCTAAATTTTCAGTGGTTAAAGTGAAATTTAATTCTACTAAAATAATAAAGTTTAACAGTTTAAATTAATTACATTAAAAATTCAGTCTCTCAGTCATTTGAGCCACATTTCAAGTGCTCAGTGACTAGTAGTTACCATGTTGGTCAGTGCAGATCTAGATCATTCCAGACAAGATGAGGAGGCCTCTGGTAATTCAAAGGAAGTAAAAGGATCAGAACCGTATAGGTAGTTCTGAGCATGCCTGAGAGAACCAAGAAAGATGCAATTACTCTCTGTTGTCACTTAGAAAGTAGGTTAACCAAAATATGGATAGCATACGCAGGGACAGCTATAATTTATCAATTATTATTTAACTAAACACTATCTTTATACTTACAATTTCCAAAAAGGATGCTTTCTTACCTGCCTTGTTAGTAAAATTGTTTATACTCCTCAGAGAAACCTGAACTATCATTCCTGATTTCTCTCAGTCTATATAATCTATATCTATCATCTATCATCTCTGTTGTCTATCTCCATAATGAGACACTGAATCACATTCCTTCCTCAGTTTGAAAACATCTTCGACACCCGTCTCTTCCTTTCCTTTCCCATTGACCCCACTCTAGCCCAGGCTTCATGCTTCATCTCACACCTGAATTGCTTCAAAGGCCTTCTCGCTGGTTTTCCTATTCCAGTCTCTCCAATCTAACCCACATTGTAAACCTGCACTGCATTAACCTTTCTAAGACATTATTTTCATGATCAGACTCCTCTGTTAAAACATGTTCACTGTCTCTTATCTGTGCCCCCAAATCAACTCATTATTATTGTTTTTTTTGCCTCTCAGTCATTTTGCTACCACATTAAACTTTTCCCGTTTTTCTTCCCCAGTTGCTCAGTGTTTTTCAATCTCCTATAACTGTGACCTCCTTAAAGGTCAGAGTTGCATGTTACTTCTCATAGAACCTTCAATATGTGATGTTGTATTTTGCACAATGATGCTTAATAAATATTTATTAATTTGAGTAAACACGGTGGAATCCCCAGCTAATAAATTGCTTTCTCATGTTTCCAGATAAAAACAGAGAGTTTAGGTCACGGAGACAAATAAACTTCATAATCTATCCATGTTTCACTCCTGCTGCTTAAGTGTTGTGTTATATTAATTATACTAATTAGTAAAAATGCCAAGGCCAATATATTTTTAACTTATGATGAACATTATCAAGGGTCCCTAGAAACAGACTTTTTTAGCATGTTATTGTTTTTAATCGGCAAGATCTTTTAACAAACCAATGACTGAGAAGCAGAAAGGAAATAGGATTAAATTATGTACCATTATTTAAAAGGAATGATGGCAACTTTATGTCATCACCAACAGAAATTAAACTTCTTACATTGAAAGTATAAAGGGCTTCACCATTTTTCTAGAAAATGATGTTCAAAGATAAATCAGTGGAACCAATTTGTTCAATGGAACTGGGAGCCTATAGACAAAAGATTTTATTTTTGAGAAAAGTACTGTGTACTTTGAACATTCAAGGAACGAGTATTAAAGAACATAGTTTATGGTTTTTTATTGGAGAGAAGTTGGTTTAAGGAATTAAAAAAATGAAGTCACAGTATTAAAGTCTCTTCATGTTCAAATAATTTATTTGATGTTCTCTACTTGTGTGTTCGTTTCCATATTTGACACACGTATCTGTCAGACATGAAAGATAGTGGTCTATTTAAGAGGCTTTAATGACTGACAATATTTTTGAAACGTACTTTATGAATATAAATATTTCCATAGCAAAGAGAGAAAACCATTGAATGAGTAGACACAACAAAATTCTGAGCAATTCTTTGATTTACAAAAGTATGACTAGGTTTTCTTTTTACTAAATGAATACAACCACTGTAAAAATATATGTGTGTGTGTGTGTGTGTGTGTGTACCCACAAACACACAGTTCAGAAACATTTCAAAGTGGCAAATTTTTAGTGCACTGCCAAAATGCTACAATAACTGTCATCCATGACATTCACATGCAAACACTATTGGACTAATACACTAGAGCAAATAAGTATTAGCAGAACTCCTTCACGAAAACTTAAAAAAATGAAAATAATGAAACAGAAATCCACTTCTCATCTGAACAGCATAGAAAATAATCTCTTAATATCAGAGTCACATCACATATACACAGTATTATCTAAGCTCAGAAAATAACTTCTTACAGTACACACAGAATTGCAGTGGACACTCAGCAAATGTTATCACTGGAAGACAATGGGCCATGAAGAGAAAGAAGGTCTGAGGGACAGTGGCAGGAAGAGACCTAGATATTAAAAAATAAAAAGAAAGGCATGGCAAAGACTGGAAGGCACATGCAAGAGAGTGGAGTGGGGAGAAAGGAAGCAGAAAGCAACACACCAATTAAAGTGGGAAAAGCAGCTAGTTATGACACAGGAATGAATCATGAAAGTTGGATGGGGGGAAGGGGAGGTGAAAAGAATTTCTCTTCTTTTTCTAAGCTATATAGAGAACTGTCAGTCACTAGCCACAGGCCAGTTGGAATGTGAGCTAAATTGTCACATGAGTCATAGCACAGACTTCGCCAAAACTACCACACAGGGTCATTCTGAACAACAAATGAGATTTCTTCACCTCTACCAACTGCGAAGATGTTCCACAAAATTCAAACTCTACACTCGTTTAAGGCGACAGTTTACACAATATTCAGATTCAATCTTTCCTTCCAACTCTGGGCAAGTGCACACAATGAACTCTCCAGACCAGACGGAGGAGGGCCTCTCTGCCACCTTATCGCAGTGTCGTGGAACAGCAGGATCCACAGTCACAGCGGAGTCTGACTTCGGAAGCAGAGCAAAGATGGTGTCAAACTGATCTAATGGAAAGTTCCCTATCCCGCTGCACCCTAACCCTCACAAACCTTATTGTCTGAACATGAATAGGACTAAATTATCCCAATTTCTCTCTTAAAGCAGAAGGAATGAGAGGGTAAAAAGATTACATAAAGGCATCAGAATATGCCAAAGCACACATTTTCCTTACATATTAACAAGTGGGAAAGAAAAGTCTAATGTGTGCTAGCTAAGTGTGTGCATTGCTATGACTATCTGACAACTAGGAAACGGGGGCTTAGTGAGACTAATTTATTCAAGGCCACTTATCCATCACAAATTTGACCCTAGGTCTGTTTCATGTCAAAGTTCTGGTTGGCAATTTCTATAATGAAGCCTCCCAGCATCAAAAGAGGTCAGGAAGATCAAAGGAGAACAGCCAACATGTTTTTTGCTATCACTTTTTCTTGTTAGTTCTATCATTAAGAAAATATTTTGGCATTGAATATTTCTATGAATCTTTTATAAGTGCCATAAACAGCATTTCTTACTCCACTAATAATAACTGTACAAGAACAATTCATGATCTCAGAAGCACAGGTAATCATGAATTAATGCAATGAACAGCAGCAGCTGTGGATATCACAAGAAAACCAGACAACAGGCACCACTTGATAAAAGAACACGACACAACTTATGAAACATTCTTGCAAAAAAAGTCATTTCCAATCTGATAAATTCTCTAAATCCAACTATCAAAAACAAAAAAACAAAAAAACAAAAAAACACAAGAGGGTGGAGGAACTTAACACCACAGGAATATAATCAACAGAACTTAAGCAAATACTACATGTAAAACGACCTCATTTCTTCAAAAAAATCACAAGAAAAGAAAGAGAAAACAGGAAATAGAAAAAGACACTTCTTATCGGGGCGATCACTTCGAAGGTTATATAAACGTCTGATCACGATGTTCTACACTTCAAACTGTTGTCCTATGCCAACTGTAACTGAAAAATAAAAATTTTAAAAGTAAAAAAATTAATTAAAAAATTTAAAAGGACACTTAATTTTAATAATTGGGATCGTTGAAATCCTAATTATTAAAAATATTAAAACAAGTAGCATTTATTAGACAACTGGCTGTTGGAACACTGACTGAACATTTATTAATATTAAGAAATTATTGTTAACTTTAAGTATAATAATGGAATTGTATTTTGCCAAAAGAGCCCATAACTTATAGAACTATATATTGAATATTCGTGGTTGAAATCAACCATAAAATGATGTGATATTTATTCCAAAATAATACTGGAAGAGAGTTAAAGAGGAGATTAAAGAAGATTGTTCATGAATTGTTGAAATTTGGTGCCAAGTACATAGATGTTCATTACGCAACTATGGGCATTTTATGCATGTTGAAAAAAAAAGCCCATGCAACACCATCACAGGAAAATGTCATTTTTTTCCAAGAAAAGAAGCACATTATCAAGGAATGACAGAGCTGAAAAGACCTTAGAAACAATCTACTCAAACCACCTCATTTTATAAATAAGGAAATTAAGGCTCAGATAGGTTAAGTGACTTGCTCAGGGTCGGACAACTCGTCAATTCCAGACTCCAGATCAGAATCGAAATCTGCCAACTTGTCGTAGCCCAGGACTCCGCTCTTTCTCA